AGATATGAAGGTTTATACCCGGACTGTCGACAAAAACAAATAATCCGTCCAAATTACTTGTCGACAGTCCGGGGAAAGGGGGATGATGTTCTACATGAGTGACTTCACGCCCAGTGTTCTCGATATTAACAAACCAATTAAAAACAGAGTGCGATATATATAGAAGACAATATATTTATTTACTCAATATAACAACAAGTATGTATATTTCACACAATATAACATATTTTTATATATATTTCATAAATCTCACACAAAATGTGTGTGTGTGTTATAGAAATGAGTGATTTCTGCAGGTGTATAAGCAATAAATATATAAAAGATGACTCCAGATATTTCTTCTTGCCAAAACTCCTTTATATCTGCACTAAAGTAATCTGTAATGTTCAGCCAAGATGAAGCAACTCTGACACATGACACATTATTGTAAGCTATCTGTTTCTTTCCGGTATTTTTTTTTGCATGTTAAACTCCAAAATGGTAATCCTTCCAATCGCATAGCGTTAAATAATGGTCTGTTTGCAACCTTAATTCTCTTACAAATTGTTAAAAAGACATTCTCTATAATTAACTTAATTCATTTACTCATGAAACGAGCATGGCCACCATAGCCACTTGCAAATCACTAAGCAAACATATGCATTCTCTTTCATTAATTAACACCGTCACGGAATGTCGACACTCCGGGGTTTATTTTCTGTCGACGGTTAGCAACATCCTATTATTCATTTGTCGACAGATCGGGCTGACACCGATATGAAGGCTGGGAAGCGATTCCCTTAACTGCACCGATCTTACACAATTCACAACGATATTACAAATAATCTTTCCGAAAAGACGCTATCAATACATTCAATTGTCTTTGAGTTTAATAATATTGAAACAAGATTGTTTCCTGCATTCTCAACAGAATGGTCAATAGCTTCGTGTTGTTTTGTCAGAAACATTATAATATATGGCATCTTCCTCCCCAAAATGAGTCAGGTCAAGCTTGTGTTCAGCCTTTGTTATACAGGTACTCATCATTGTAAATCTAAACGCCTTTCCCAAGGCTGTGATTATTTATCACGTGCTTTTGTCCCTTCCGTGTCACGTATGTAAATAGATCACGTGTCTGATATATGAGCACCAAATGTGGGGATTAACAATAGTTGACTGTATTCTTTTGTGTTCGATGCCTGTCACGTGTCACAGACACATAAATGCTATTGAAGTGAATTGCTTTATGCAGTCGTGATTTCAATCTGAACAACTTGCAAGGAAAAACGATCTGAGTATTTATTTATGCAAATTTAATCACATGCTTGTTTCTTTATCGACTTTAGGTTATGTTGCCTAGTAACCCAATCAGATAATCTCACCGCTTTGACAGCGAAGATGAATGTCACGTATCCCTGAAAGTCCACACATATTCCAGGATCCTCATTATCTTTATGGCCTCCTGCCACAAAATAAATATTCTTTTAAATATGACCCTGGGCACAAGAAGCAAGCAATATTAATAGGTTATCTTTTCGTCTTGTGTGCGAGATCTGTTCTTGAATTCAGAAGTCTTCATGGCCATAGAAAGTGTTTGTACAATGACAATAAGCCTGTCAGACACATTTGCATATGTTTGCAAACTATCCTGTATGCTATAATATAGGCTGTACATATCTGTTGTTCATCTAACATTATGTACAGTTGCTTATATTGTTTAATAAGTAATTTTGAGTGGGCATGTTCAGATGGACATCTAGTTGTCTCTTCATCGATCCTCCATGTAAAATAATCCTGGGAATGAATATGGTTTAACTCAAACCATTTAATTCGATCACGACGTGTTCGAGAATGCAAAAGTCTACATGTGTGAATATCATACACAATTCATCTGAAATTGTTCTTTTCGAGCAAGACAAAAAATCAGTACTTGTATAGCTTATGATTATCGCCCACATGCTCACCTTCCGACATTTTAGCTTCCTTACATTAGGAGTAAATATGTAATGTATACACGCACAGAAACGTTATTGTAAATAGATTTAGGTCTACAGAATAGACTTTATGATATTGTTGCGTAAAACAAAGAAAAACAGTAATGTAATGCTGGATGGTCTATCATTGCGGTAACATAGAAACATAGAAAAGATTAAAAGTATGCTTCCATGGACTCTGTAGTAGGTATCCCTGATTTGAGCATCTCAGTTTAACTAAGTCAACACTAAATATCCAAATAGGAATTCTAAAATCCCAACTGTATACTCAGTGTTATTTGAAAGCACAGAAAGGTGATTACAGGATTGGCTTATCCCTTTCGTAAAAACCTGGTGTCATCACTGCTTTTTACTGATCAATTTACGTACTTTTCTCTATTTAACTATGCCCAATGGAATCTGTTTCGACAGATAACCAAGACTGACAATTCTCTCCCACGTTTGTGGGAATTAACAATAGTTAAAGGGTTACTTGAAGCTACAATATATACATGAATGATACGGGGCCTAGTAAAAAAGTATGTTAAAAAGAGAGTCGTTAAAGAATTATTCTAAGCTATCGTATATAAAGGAACTATACAGGGTGTCAAAAGAAACATGTGAGAAACGCTATCGCCAGTTTCTATGAAAAGCAAACACTGCCCATGTCAATGAGTAATGTTGATATGGCATGTTAATCGGTGGGAATACGCCAGTTCCCCAGACAAAGCTTCCATGTGTTAAGGTAATATCACCTGTACAGCTGGATTAGGGAGTCCATATAAGTCTTTGTACAAACTCACCCTTCAGAAGGACGGCATTCTTGACCGCCGACCACCGCCAGAAACAAATACTGGAATACTCCAGACAGTTATGTAATGTCTTTGCCAATAGTAACATGACCGTTCTGTGCTGATAATGAATGAATAATTAACCGCAACTGTCAAAATAATTCCGTAGGCCTTCTGGAAGGTTACGTGATTACGACTACAATCTAGGGCTGTAAATATTGATTGCTATGACCGGTGTCAAGCAGCTCATGGTCATTAGGACAGGAATTGTACCTAGTCAGTTTCCGCGCACATTAACGTGTGTGAATGAACCAAATAGATGTCCGACCTTGATATCACTGGATTACACAACACATTTCTTTGTTCAGCAGGGTATCTTTAGTCAGGAGTATCCTTCAACACACTGGGGAAGGATGGCTTAATGGTTAAGGTATAAGCTTACTTGATTTGTTGATTGTGGTGGAAGACAGATTCCCCAGATAATAATCACTGTTCTCTACGCGCTATCTTTGTTCGTGTTTTGAGCCAAAGTGATAAATGTCCGCATGAACACGTGTTTATCTTCCCCTTTAAACTAACAAGGCTGTACAACAACAATTCTGTTAATATGGCGTTTGCCACCTTTGTACTGATGAACCCACACTTGGTATAATAAATATGCTTATTCGACCACCAGAGGTTATAGTCAATAGACTATTAGTGATGGTAGGATGGCAATATATTTCTGAATTTTCCCGATTGATTTGTTTTGCACACACACTATAGTTGTTACACATTGAAATTCAATATTATCCAAGGTCAAAGTATTCCAAGGACACAGTCTGAAGTAGAGTGTACCACAAAGATGAAATAACCAACGTCCAAGTAGAAATAGCTAAAGCAACTGTGTTAACACTCAAATAATCGAAGTGTTTGCTAACACATTATTAGACAAAATGTCTCCACTATTCATCCCGAACACAATCAACTCATGTTGCATCTTTGCAACAATGCAGAGTAGAATATGGATCATCACGGACAATCGCTTCCGTATATATTTACCCAACGGTCAATACGATGACCGACGACGTCCACGAGTTATCAAAACATGTTCGTCTATTTCCACCCCCCTGCTGTCACCACAGTCGATACACGTACTCATGTAATGTCACGTGCTTTAGCTTATCAATTTCATTTTTAGCATTAACTTCGTTTCGTGTGATAGAATTACTCACTATAATGTTTCATTGTCAATTTCATTTCCTGGCATGCCATCCAAATCAATACACCTGAACACTTCTATTCCCAAAGAGACAACACACATAGCCTGACGTCGTGGGAAATCTAATGATGCCTCCCGCATGTGGTTGTTCGTAATGAAGATATTTAGCTTACATGCCTTAGAATAGCCACTATTACAATCCATTGTTAACCAGCACAGCAACTGATCCATTAACTCACGAATTGTCATTAATTGTGTTTAAATTAATTTGAAACGTTATTTGCAATGAAGTATGCGAGAATGGGGGTATATCTAAATAATAAATCCAGTTTATAAAAGTCCATATTGATTGCTTGTATCATTCATTATTCAAGAATAAATTAACTCCTTTCATTCATATTCCAGTGTGTCACTTCAAAGAAGTCACTGAGTGTTATCACGTTCATGTTATCGCCACGGTCACTGATCAGTGTCCATTTACAAAGTTGACTAGAATGGGCATGGATCACCCCTAGGGTGTACCGGGGATCTGGGGGTCAACAGCAAGATTTCATTGTCCACTGTGAAATGCCGGTATTCACATTAGCATTTTACATGGCTTAAAAAGTCAGCATGACTTCTGGGTTGGTCCCAATTAAAAGTTTTTACGAGAAGGTGAAAATGTCAAGGCTCACACTGAAAGAAATGGAAAGTAATATGGAGAATCCTTGGGATTCTGTGCTGGATTAAAACGCCAATTTGATATTTTGGAAAGTCTAAAGCGTCGTCCTAAGTGATACATTCGACTTGTGCAGCCAATTTTGAAAGCCATTTTGTCACAAAATATTTGATATGATATGATAGCTATTTTAAAAACATATCACGGTATGTAAGCCTTTTCATCACATTATCACTTAACCATCATTGTTTTGTTAAGCATTTAATGAAAGCTAAATCAACTCCTTAAATTGGAATGTAGATCACAACAGTCTTTTAAGAGTCATAATGCAAAAATGTAAACACGACAGCAAATTATGAAAATAGTATTTATTCAATATAAAATATTCAACAAATAAATAACAATGACAGAAGCAGCAGCATGCACTCTGCAAGTGGTATACAGTATTTAGCTTCTCATTCACATTATCTCTACACACATGCACACAAAATACATCGAGGGAAGGATTATCCATCTGCGTCAGCAACTGTTTAATCAATGCCACCTATCACATCACTCCTATTTGAGACCCTTGTCGTATCACAGAATATTGCCCAAGGTAATCCACATGTCTCGGCTGCAGACATCTCCTCTTGTGGGAATTGTCACTATCACTTGACCATTTCCTCTTGTTCCTGACAGCAGCAGCTACAGATTTATCACCCACGGGATTGACTAAAGTATTTCCGAATGAATTAACTGGTGCATTCACAGCCACACATCTGTTTGAGGTTAAGCTATACATGGGATACATGTATCCTTTGAAGTCTTTGCACATATTTGAGGTCTTGCTGTATGGCATGTTATTCCTTAGATGTTGCTGAGGAATTTCAGTTTGGTAACAACTGAGTCTCCTTTGTTCAAACGGCGTTGCATGTAAATCTGGTCGATGGTAATTTGTATACAATAGTCTTTCATCACGTGTATCCCTCCTTTGTTCGACTGCAAGGATCTGTATGTCTGGCAGTGGATCTTGTCTGTTCAGTTCTTGACTGAGATCATCGACGAGGATCTCATATTGTTTTGTATCCAGTAGTTCCAGCAAATCCTTGTTTTGGAGATCTGAGGGAAATAAAGAAGCACGGTGAAAGAAGTTTCGTATTTGTATTATTTACATATCTAAATCTTAATTTATATATGGTATGTCATGCACAATGGTTTTAAGTAGAGGATATTGGTAATATTCGTGATTTTTAAAAGATATTCTAATTACTTCAACAACCATGACGTACGTTCTATGATGAAATAATGTCCAAACATGAAAATGGCGTATGCGTTATCAGTTGTAAAGTCTACTTACCTATGATTTCAAGCAGGTCTTCAGGCACACCCATGTTATGTACAGGGTGCACAGAAGAATGAATGGGAGGACATCTGGAAGCTGAACTAGTATCAGGCTGCTGCATTGTTTGGGAGGAACTAAACGCACTCTCCCTTGTGCTAGAACACGTCCATGGTGTATTGTTATATCCAAAGTAATTTGTTTCTCTCCGTGCAACCATCAACATAGGTTCATTCTTGTATTGTGGGTCGTCCAGGCCGGGGAACCTGGACAAGTCGAGATCATAACTTGTGCTGGTATCAACGCTGAGAGGCTGTAACAGATGTGTAGGGACGCGCATGTCTGTCTGTAAATGACTGCCCGGATTCTCCTGACCTTTATATAGTCTCATTTCTGCTACCGGTAGCAGCCAATCAGGCGTGAGCTTAGAATGACTGACAGCTAGGAACTGGTAATTATATCGTTATCGTGTGGTAAACAAATCTTTCAGGAACTGATGGATGGCTTTTAAGCGGGGTCATCTGCAATCGAAGTTGAAAGGCGCGTAAGTGACCACACCGTGTGTGGGTAAATTGACGAGTGTTCAGGATCTACCTGCTGTGTAATCACCTCACTTGTGGACATTACATAATAGCCTCCGGCTGATGTTGCGAGCCCATCATTAATCAATATACACAACTGTGTTTCATTATTACAACAATCGTAAATCGTACTCTTTTATCACCTGTGACATAATATGATAGCATTAGCATCCAATTAACTTTATTTATTTATCTGCCTCGTTTGATTTATTACCAGCAAAGTGCACCATGAGGTTTTCAAGAATCCATCCTGGATTCGAACTCACACCCAAACCAACACTCTGAGAGTAAAGAACTTGCATACAAAATTGTTGGTATCTCTGTATGTTAGATTGCTGACAGTATGGTGATAAAAAGATAGGCAGCTGACTATAACAGAGTGGGTTCGAATCCCGGATGGGATTTTGAAACCTCAGGGTGTACATTGCCGATTTTAATTAACTCAACAAGCTGTCTCTCCCGACGTACCTAAAACTATCATCAAACATGAGATAGCCACCAAAACATGGCGTGTAAAGATCGCTGATCGCATATTCGAAACAGAACTTGTATTTGAAAATCATTTCACTTATATCCCTTTCTCTTTGGCTGGGGGGCGGTGGGGTAGCCTAATGGTTAAATCGTTGGCTCGTCACGCCGAAGACCCGGGTTCGAATCCCCACATGGGTACAATGTGTGAAGCCCATGTCTGGTGTTCCCCGCCGTGATGTTGCTGGAATATTGCTAAAAGCGGCGTAAAACCAAACTCAGTCTCTTTGGCTGTTACATTCCTCAATTAGCAATATATTATTCGGTGTAAGAATCTACACTGCACTGAAACGTTCTCTCTGCAGTGAACGAGAAGTTGTTATCCATAATGTAGTATGCTTGATTTCCGACTCATCAACTTCTCTTGTCATCGCTTGCCCATAGAATTAGGTAGGTGACCCAAAAGTCCTCCAAACGAAACAATATGTGAACTCCGTGGCATGTACGATGTTGGCGATCAATTCCGTTACATGTTTCTTTGCCCTTCCTTCTAATATCGTCGAGCAATGATATCCAATGTTAAAAAGAATCAGTGTTTTAAATATCAAAAACTGGTTAACTGTAAATAAATGAGTGTTTTGAAAACATTCTAAACATTCTGTAATAGAACCGTAAAGACCTCCATGTGAACCATCTCACCACCCCATGTATTTATTACCTGTACACTAAAGACCTAGTCTGTCATACAGACCCTGAAGCAAATATATCTAAGAAAGCCCACACAAGTCTAGAAAATGTGGCAAGTCTAGATTTCCTCAGCTTCAGCTGAAAATGAAGAAAGTCTCAGGGCTCCTTTTGAACTTTTTTCAGTAAATATGTTCATTTCAGCGACTAGTTGATAGTCTAACTAAAGTCCCAGAAGCGGAGCATCTCGGCCTGAGCGCAATATGTTCCATTCTGAATCCTAGACGGGACACACTCCCCAAAATGTACTTGAATCCGAAATTTACTGACAAAGTGTAGTACCAAATATAGCATATGTTACAAGTTGATAATTAGCCATACAATTTCTCCAACAGAGCCTTTCATCAGTATCATTCCTATACATGCACAAAATTATCAGTGTCAAGTTCTGACAATAATAGCATTTGTCCAGTCACCTTGACAGACTGCCCTCATCCTTGAATATCTGCCTTTCATTTTATACAAAAATGTCAGGAATCTATCGTACAAAATAAATAATTTCGCAGACTGCATATTATGCTACGTTGTTGGTTGATTGAATATATGTAAATGCATATTATTGTTTTCCTATCATGCATACTTTATACGACGCATGTTGTACATTTGTATTTGAGGTTTTATGAGAGTGCCTAGTACTGTTGGACATCTGTGCCAAGGTGTGTGTTGCCATTAAATTCCTGTATTACAGACATGCCCAGTCAGCCTAATATATATGCATTCGAGGGGCGTATACCAGTTCATACCAATTACACTTATTTATCCTTTGTTCTCTTACACGGCTTCACCCATGACGAATATAGGTTGGTGCTATACATTGGTACTTTTCATAAACATTTTACAGTGTTAAGCGTATTTCTTTGAAAATGTCACTTATGGTGTGTGGTTGAACATTATTTTTCTCAAACTGATACAGATCATATATAATTACCTTTCACCTATACAATGGAACTGGAGATTAGATTCCAACGTCAGCACAATTTATAAGCTCTGCGCTAAGTCACTCGTGATAAGGTCGACCACCATCTGTTTGATGGGTCTGTGGAAGGTCATCTGTGACCAGAAGGACGATAAGCGGCTAATGACTAACACACCAGCGTGTGAAATGACCAGTGACCAGTTCCGAATGCTATAATCATCACTTTGTAAACGCCATGGCAACCTCTGGTAAAGATCGGCTTAGCATTTTCTTCTGGGTAATGGAAGACCGGCAAAGTCCTGTCATTAGCAGAAATACAGTCACTGCACAGAATGGTTTTAACGAGTATTAACTTTTGCCCATAGGCAGCACATTGCACAGATTACAATGGAGGATTTACAGGCATTATTTTTATCATTTTTTTCTGCATTTGCTTTTGCGTATAAATGCATACATTCTCGCTTGTACAAGTTCTACAAAGAACATTAGCTATAATTATCTTTACGTATATTACTGTATTCTATTTCCATGAAAGATCGATACAATTTCGAAACAACGAGCTATAGATGTTTATATAGTTTGTATGTTTTATTTAGTTTCATTTAGCTCGAGTAATGCATTGAAACATACTTTTATACAACTATGTAGTTTTTTACTATATTAAAATATGTTTGATTTACATCACAATTTAATTATTATAGTGTAGTACAGCAACGTCAAAAAATGGACATGCATCTTACATACATTTGTCACTGATGAGTCAAATGTGGAAATGTCATGTTCATTTCCACCACAAAGATTGAAAGAATTACAGACTCTTTGGAATATTGTATCCTTCGTCCCAAACGCTTTTTAATATATTTGTTGGAAGAGAATGCTCGATTGAACCACAAATGGTATAGAAAGTAGACACCAAAGGATGTAGCTGCAGGAATATTGCTCTACAAAAAGGGGAAGTTTACAATTGGAAAGATGTTATTTCCCCAATAAAATGCATAAGTCCCTTTCACTGGTCTCCTCTATTCTGGTCGGTAATCAGTTGAATTGGAGGTATTTTGTTTAAATGTCTCATCATTCATATACCTACACATCATTCATATACCTGGTCTCCTCTATTCTGGTCGGTAATCAGTTGATTTGGAGGTAAAAATGTATTTTATTTAAATGTTTCATCATTCATATACCTATGACTTCGCAAATCTGAACAGAAACGCCGATTCCTATACATGAAGATCGCCATCTGAAAGAATATGTGCACGTTTGGGGATGTACCTCTTGCCTAAATGTCGCATTTCTAAATGGTATACAAGTATACATATTATCAACAACGAAGGCACCATAATACACATTGTCTTCTCAGTCAATGTACTACGTCAATTGGTTCAATATTTAAAATTCTTTTGAAACTATGTTGATAGGTGGGTGACGGGATGAATGACAATGTACGAATGGCACACGTGTTGAGTTGAGTGACGATAGTTTGGAGAACTGTTGTTTCAGTATTTATTTCAGAATGAGACCCACATATAGTTCTCTCTGCATTTATCCGCTAACAATTTTTGGATATATGTACAAACATTCTTCAGTTAACCATCATGATCCAATATTGGAACAAGAATTGCATACACCTTGGGAGGTTATTCCTTCGACGATGATATTTCAAGCTTCTTGAACAGTAGCTCAGTGGACTAACTCTTCGTGTTGCACACAAAGAGAGTATCAATGTACTGTCAATTTCATATTATGAAGGAAAGTAAGAATGTGTATCTATCTAACTCCATATTGAACAATAATATGTTGACCCTTTATTTTTCATTTTATATATGTAAAGAATGAAAATTGAGAATAAGGAAGTAATATATTATAAATCTCAGCACTACGAAATATGGGCGGATTTTGACACTGTTTGGTAAACATAGACACAGAATGTCGCCTTTCACAGAATAAAGAAGACGTATATCCATAAAATTATCATCATTCTTCATCACCTTAACATCTAAAATGCCCATCAAAGATACATAGACACAGTCAAATCAAATGAATAATACCATTCAGAAAGCGCAGTTTAAACGGTACGTGATATATCAGGGGTACCCTTTTCGCATGAAGCGTGAGAAAGCACACTACCGATAATGAGACAATTAATTTGTTCATCTATTCAGCACTACTAAATTGCATAATCGAATACAACCTTCTCTTGATCCGAGAAATAAATATTACCCTGGTGTTCTTACACATTTGTAGCTTTTGTTGTGTCGTACAAGGAGGGAATACGAACAACATTAGCAATGGATAAAAGACGCCGCGATAACACGCCATATGTAACTGGGACGATCAAGGTACTTCAAGCCAGGAAGGAAGCATTAAAGCTACAATGTGGACTTAGATTTACGATATAATTTGCAAATATCAAACGAAAGACGATAAAACGACCACTTCGATCCGCTCGATTTAACTTTAAAGAAAAACTGAGGATAAAAAAGAAAACACGGACAAAGAAATGCACAAGTGCAGGGTGAACATCTTAAGGTTTCAGGTGATTGCAATACAGACACGAACTTTATGAGAAACCTTTTGAAATCACAGGTGTAATTATTGGTGGGATGGGCTTCCAGTGGCTTTGTGCACTGG